ATGGGAGGAAAAACAATCGCTCTCCTGTTCTCAGTGCTGTACAGCTTGACTGAGTTGATTCGTGAAGGGTGGCAGGATCCATCTTAGGGGGGAAGCAATGATGGGGTTGAAGAACAGTGATATCTAGCTTAAAATGGTTGAAAAAAGTTAGGCACTTAAAGGACTAAGCAGATGCCTAACTGAGGGAGCTAAGGGACCAGTCACCGTGCATATTAAGAATTATTGCAAATAGTGAGCTGGCTGAGGACATCACTGTTCTCACCTTTAAACAAACCATTGGCCCCTAGATAACTCGAGAAATGCAAACACTGGGAAAGACACTGAGGAGGCCGCAGTGGTTGGGCAGAGCTTTGTCCACAACAGAGGAGGTGAAAGAGCCAAATGGCTGAGAGAAGCTTTAGGTCGCTTCAAAGGTGAGGCTCTTTTTCTCCTTAAAACAAATAATAAAAGACATGTGGGTGAAATGCACAAAAATGAGGGATTAGTTATACTGCAAAATATGTGGCAAGCAGTTGAGCTCAGTTCATTCTTAGACAATGCTGCCCAGCACACAACCAGAAGCCAGTGTTGGAGGGCCCCCTGGGGCATGCACTTCTCCAGAGCTGTTAGGGGGTGGCTGCTGCGCTTTTACCTCACCCTGTAGTCTGCAGGAGAGTGTAGAAAAGTCCGCCCTTTTATTTCTCTCTTCAGCCTACACAATAGGTTTCTATGAAAGGTCTTGGTAAGGCAGAGCAGAAGGGGAGGGAAAGAGTTTCAAGGTTCTTCCAGTCAGTCCCTCCTTTCTGTAGCCGGTGACCTGCGGCTTTTGCCGCTGCACCAGGCTTCACATGGTGGACCCATACAGCCGTGTGTGTGGCAGGCACCTGCTGGCTGATGAGAAGAGCACTGTTCACAGAACAGGGCTCAGTTGGTGGGGAGCAGTTGTCTGAATAGCTTTATTTTCAAGGGTTAGAAATTAGCTGCAAAATTGTCCATGGCTTTTGAGCCAGGAAGGAGAGGTTTGTGCAAAGGGGATTACTTTCAACCGCTTTTTACCTGCACCGCCAGAATCATTTCTGGGTGTTTGCTTGTATTAGAAGTTACCACGGGTGCTTATTCCTTGACAGCCTGGGTTTGAAGGAAGAGATAATCCTCTTTGGAAAGTGAAGTGTTGGGGGTGATGGGCCAGGAGTTGGCCAAGCTGGTTACACTGAGTTTGTGTGGGTATCATTTCTCTCCCCCATGGATGCTGAGGTACAAAGAAGTGTTTCTCTGAAATTTTAAGCATAAGAAATATTTTTCTTCTAAAGAGCTCTGCACAGTATGAGGCCATTTTCTGTCTACCTTGTTTTTCAGTTTTCACCAGGGAATTCTAAGATAGTGTGTTGTTTAGTTGAGTATTTATATCCTGTTTTGAAATGCTGAGCAGAGAGCATCTACTTGTCTCTACATGTTTCTTTAAGGGGAACTGAAAGGTCAGCTCCCGAGCTTTGGGGCTACCACAGCTATTTAAAAGGGGTAATAATCGTTCTCCCCCTTCCTGTCTGAAGAGAATGGAGGTATTTCTGGAATTGCAACTGTAGTAACGAAAGGGCAAGTGCTGTATACTCCAATGCCCCCACCCCACTGGGTTGAGGGAAGGACCACGGTGGCTTTGCTCCTTTCACAGAACCAGCGCTGAGCTCCATGCCCGATGCGGTAATAGGTGCTCTGAGTCTGTCGCTGCTCACCTGGTTGGTCACTGTGTTGGACAGACTTGTTCTTTGTGTCATTGTGGTGTCACTGTCACAATCCACTTGTGGACCCACATCCACAGCCCACAATCTGATTCAAGGGAGTGGATGGGCTGCTTAAGAGAACCCCTGGAAGCGCAGCGGCACTGGCCATTCCAGTCGTGGTTTCTGGGTTTCCAAGTTGAGGGACTTGGGCTTGGCCTGCCTGTTCTTTGCAGGCACCAGTCCACAGCTGTGTTCCATGTGGTGCTAATGGAGGCAACAAAGATATGTGATCCATTCATTGTCTCTGTTCTGGCCTATGTGTAATGTTGAGCTATAAAAATGCCTGATCCGTCAACAGTTTTCTGGTCATATCTGTTTTACTTGCTGACATGGCCTGTGGGTTTCTGCTGCCAGAAAACCTACATTATGTTCTTTGTTGCCTCCAGAAGCTAATTTTAAAAATAGAAAAACAAAAACTTTTTTTTACCACATAGCCAGATTCTACTAGACTCTCCATCCTAAGTGTGGAAACAGCACGGCTCCCACGGCGCACGCCAGCCGCCTGGTCAGCAGGAACAGAGGGCCGGACCAGCTTTCCTGTTCTGTCTGTTAGTGTGCAGACCTCAGGATTACCACGTGGGCCTCGCCCTGTAAAAAGGAATTGACAGTCATGCCAACAAGAATTGACCTTGTTATGCCCTGTTTCCTTAACTTCAGGAACCTGTTTTTGCAATAGCTTATCAGTTAAAACAGCAGTAAGATTCTAACTTAACTTATTTTCCATAAACCACTACCATTAATTCAAGAACTATTTATTTAGTGTCTACAGTATGCCAAGTGAACCTCAAAAGTCCTAGAACCAACTTGTCCAAAAAAGCAATTGTGTCGATCACCAAGGATTTCCTTTTACATGCACCTCTGTGCTGCCTCCACGGTACTGTGCTGGGTCATGAGTCGAGGCCTCCCCACACTGTCGTCTGGAGGCCACCTCCTCCCTCGGCTGCGGGTCAGCCTGGGCAGTGTTGTCACGGCAGCAGCCCCTACACAGCTCACGCTGTCATGGGGACCGGGCGGGAGGCAGCATGCTCTTGGGGACACAGGAGGCTTGAGGACTCAGCAGTGGCCATTGGCTATGGCTCTTGACTCCTCTCTTCTCTCCTAACTTAATGGGACCTCCTGAGAGCAAATGGCGTTAATAGATAGGACAGAGCTGGGTGACCTCAGGAATAAAGGTACAGCATACACACACAGGGAGATATACGTTCAAGGGAATGTCTGTCCTTTTGGGGAAAACTGACGCGCAGAAAGAAATGTGAAGGGGCAGGTAGCAAGCATCAACACCAGTGCCGTGACCATCAGCATCGGCACCACTGGCAACTTGTAGAAATGCCATGTCTGGGGCCCCATCTCAGACCAACCGAATGAGAGATTCAGAGGATGGAGCCCAGCGCCGTGTTTCAGTTAGCCTTCCAGGCGATTCTGATGGGCACTAAAATTTGAGAACTGCAGGCCCAACCTTTCCCTCTAAATCTGGGGGTTAGGGTTAGGGTTAGGGTATTTCTGTTTTGACAGATGATTATTGAGGGGGGCTTCTGACGCTCTTTCTTGGTTGAAGCTAGCTGCCCTACTGGGGGGAAGGAAACGCTGCGTTGCCAGAGTTGGTGAGCAAAGAGGAAAAAACCCACATTGTTGGTTATTTCTGACCGTTGCAGGAGAACTGGCCCTGGAGAGCTTGTTCAGAAGGAAGCAGGCCTGAAAGAGCCCTCCCTCCCCTCCCCACAAAGGTACCGATGTGTTTGCCTCACCTCTTTCCCTGGGGCCTGCTGCTCCTCGAGCCAGTCCTTAAAAGGAGCTGTGGGTGCCACGTTTGTTCCTTCTGGTGCCAGGTCTGCGCAATTTCACTCCCCTGGCGTCAAGTGGACGCTTAACGAGAGGCTGTGACATGGGCCAGCAGACTCGTTGAAGAAAAGCAGCCTCAGTCTGGGCCTTGTGCTGGCTCCTCTCGTTGCCTTTTCCAGCCTTGAATTCTTTCCCTCAGTGAGGTTGTGGTCACCCAGTGTCCGCCCTCCCTCATGAGCCCCGATAACCCCTGCTCAGAGGCTCAGAGGCATGCTTGCCGGGGCCCGTGGGCACTGATAAATGACTCAGGCGGCAGTGAAGTGGTTGGTGTCTTTAGTCTCTCCTGTTCCTTTGACCGCCTCGGACTTGGTGCCCAAAATAGAAAGATATGGGGGGTTTTGCCATTTTATTTGTTCTTCTGGGGGGCTGGTACCAACTTTGTCTGTTATCCCTGTCCTGTAGCCAGGGATGGGACCAGAGCCAACTAGTGGTCAGACCTTCCCAACTTGTGCCTTGTTACGTAGCTGGGGAACCCCTTCTTGCAGGGGTCCTCATTCATCTGTCCCTTGACCGTAAGAAAATATAATTATACTGCTCCTTTGAGTGGCAAAACCTAACAGTAGAAGGCATGAACAAACTCCACCAGGGAGTTTGCTTCTGAAGGAAATTTTTTTTAAAGATTTTATTTAAGCCCTGGCTGGTGTAGCTCATTGGATTGAACACGGGCCTGTGAAGCAAAGGGTCTTTGGTTCGATTGCCAGTCAGGGCACATGCCTGGGTTGCAGGCCAGGTTCCCAGTAGGGGACACATGAGAGGCAACCACACATTGATGTTTCTCTCTCACTCTTTCTCCTTCCCTTCCCCTCTCTCTAAAAATAAATAAATAAAATATTTTTTTAAATTAAAAATTTATATTTTATTTACATATTTATTTATTTTTAGAGAGAGGGGCCAGGGAGGGAGAAAGAGAGGGAAAGAAACATTGATGTGAGAGAGATGCATTGATTGGTTTTGCCTCTTGCATGCGCCCAACCAGGGACCAAACCCACAACCCAGGCATGCGCCCTGACTGGGAATCAAACTGAGACCCTTCACTTTGCAGAACGACACCCCAACCAACATTAAAGAAGTAAAAACTAGTGGAGGGTCCTCAGATTCCTACCGATGTGAACAGAGGGAAAGAGGAAGCACTCTGAGCTGTGGGAACCAATGTGTGGAGTTAGGCAGAAATGCGTAGGACACCCTTAAGATCCCACTGGTGGGTGGGGACAAAGAACCCTCCCTGTAAGAGAAGGGCTGCTCCCTGAGGCTGTGACTCAGCTAGACTCCCCAACGTGAAAGCAGGTCCTGGAATGCTAGTAGCTTCAGAAACCATCCCTGTTTCCCTGAGGGTGTGCTGAGCCCAGTGAAAATGAGACTAGAAGAGAAGGTGAAGGAAAAGATGGGAAACAAAGCAGACGGAGATCACACCAAATAGCTACTTCATTTATTCCACAGATATTTACTAAGTGCCTTTAGGCTGCTGTTAATAGAATGCCTACAGTGTGCTGGGCGTATTTCTCATACTATTAGCTTTCGTTTTCTGAACAACCTTTCAAGGTATTACTAGCCCTATGTTGTAGATAAGAAAACTGAGGCTTTTCAAGCTTAAATTGACCAAGGTCATCCAGCTAGTCGATGGCAAGCAGGATTCAGGTTCAGCCTGTCGGATTCTAAGACCTGTGTCTGTGCGGCTCTGCCATGCTGCTTATCCTCAGAAAACTGGCCTCCCCTGCAGTGCCCTTTGCTGCTCCCCTCTGTGAAGGGGTTTGGGCCCGGGCAGGGACGCCTTCTGCCTCTTCTGCTCTCCTTGTTTGGAGCCTTTGGTAAAGCTGTCATGTCCCTACTGGCTTTCTGCTACCTCCTGTGCCCTCCCTTCTCTTTTCCTTCAGCTCTGTGCCTGGGTTCCTGATACTCACGCCTCGTGAAGAACTCCCCAACTTTTCAAGCAATCTTGTTTGTTAGTTGGAGAGGAGAAAGGATTCCAAAAGGAAGGATCCAGGAAGAGAGAAAAACAGCCTCCCGTGACCCCGAGGTTTGTGGTGGGGTGTCTCCCCATGTTTCCCTTCTGCTCCATCTCTGGCTCCACCCAGGAGCAGGGGGGTGGCCCTGTGGCTGCTGGCTCCCTTTAGTCTGGAGAAGGGCTTGCTTTTTTAAAATTAAAGCTCAGGGATACTCGCCTGGCCCTATAATCTTCCTCCAGTGAAGATGTCCTGTACCAGTCTTCATTCTCTCCAGCCCCCAGTGGCTCCTATGACATCCTTTCTCCTAAGGTCCTTCTGAATGTTCCCCGCAGGGAGAGAAGCCCTGTCTCTCTGTGGCCCTTCTGCCCAGCTTTCTCTTTAGATTATGTCCTGCTGCGAGGGTCGAATCAGAGCTGCCAGAGCATGCGTGCAGTTGGAGGTGCTGGGGGTTGGTAGCAGTTTGTGAATCTTAGAATTTGAGTCCTCGGCCACAGTTATTTTTGGAAACACCTGCAGTCAAGGGCCCTGCCTGCACCTGCTCCGCCCCAGGCCCATCCTGGGGAGTCATGGGTGCCAGAACCAGAGCCGTGCTCTGAAGCCATATTTGTGTGACTGGAAGGCAAGAAGAAGACTTGAACTGGGACTCTTTCATCCTTGCCTCTCTCATCACAGGGGTCTCCCTCTCGCACGCACAGGAATGTTCCCAAGTCTTTCCAAAATCCCTTTGACCAACCCCACGCCAAGCTCTTCCACCTGCTGCCCCTCATCCCAGCCAGCTTTCTCACTCTATACTATGGGAAGCTGGCACCACCACTCACCGACCTTTCAAGCATCTTCCCAGCTGCCTCAGTTTCCCACCCAGCTCTGAAGCCCAGCGGGTCCCACCAGCGGAGGCAGCACCGCCCCATCCTCAGCCTAGCCAGCCCCAAGCAGTGAGAGTGTTGTCTGTCTTTGCCCCAGCCCTCCACGTCTGTTAGTCCAAACCCTTACTGCTCAAAGTGTGGTCGGGCACCAGCAGCATAAGCATCACCTGGAGGAGCAGTAGAAATGCATATTCTCAAGCCCACCCCAGACCTACTGCGTGAGAATCTGCATTACTCTGCACCTTCACATGTAAGAAGCACTGCTTTAAACAATCTGATCCCCTCCTCACGCTTCTTGAATCGTTGGGGCAGGTGGAATGAGAGCCAGTGAGGAAGCCCAGGTTGCGACCTCATGGTTAAGGCCTCACTTCGACAATAGAGAAATCTGGGGGGCAATCCAGACACTCCCTGGAGAACCTAGGGAGGCCCCGTCAGCACACAGGAGCAACCACTGCAGGCCGAAGGGGAAGGGAGCAGAGGGGGCCACATGGGGAGATCCAGGCAAGGCCTTGGGGCAGAGGGTGCACACTGAGAGAGGGAGGGGCACCTGCTTTTGCTAGCAGAGGTAGGATGGTTCCCTTTGGGCTGCTACCGCCATCCCCAGCCCCTGTCCCCTGTCGGGCACTGACAGCCAAGGGCTCCTGCTGGGCTGCCTTGATTTGCCCAGTGACTGGGCTTCTGCCCTCCCCCTTGCTGGCAAAGTCACCATCGCCCTCTGGCTGTGTTGCTGTAGTGGGTGTTCAGGAAATGTTTGTTGAATTGAGAGGAAGCCACACCTTGTGCAGAATCTGGATAATTCACCAGACGGTGGGCCTCAGAGGAGGGGCAGGAATGGAGATGTAAGTGGGAAAGACAAGTCCTGATGCCCTGCTTAGCTGCAGTCGCCATTTCTAATCTCTCAGACCCTGCCTGAGTCCTTGCTTTTGCCTGACCACAGTTCAGCAAGGTGGTGTGGGGAGAGGAAGTAGGCAATGGCAGGAAATGACTCTGGGCTGCAGGACTGCTCCCTGACCCCCATTTGGGGTACACTCAATGTCTGACCTGGCCTGAAGATGGGGTTCCCTGATGGTAAGCCCCCCACCTACTGGGGGGAGGAAGCCGTCTCCTCTCCGCCCAACCCCACCCCGTTTCAGAGAGGAGGTCTTTCCGGGGAAGACCTTAGCTCTGCTCCTCTGGCCCCAGCTCAGCCCCTGCTGACTGTGGCCTCCTTCTCTCGGGGCTTCAGCCTCCTCTTCCAGAAAGGCAGAAGATTTCTGGCTGATTGGTGCGATTCCCCTGGTTTGGCCATCCTGAGTCTGGGGCTGTGAGCCACCTGGGTGCAAGGCAGAGGCGAGGAAGGGCCTAGGCCTGGCCTGGCCTGGCCATGCCAGCTGCTGAGGCTGCCTGCACCCGAGGAGCTGGAAGGTGGCAGCTGGAAAGGGAGGCCATGCAAGCCAGGGGCTCAGTGCTTCTCAGCCTTGCTTTCTTGTCCTGGGGGATGGCGGGGCTGGGGGAAGCTTACGGCCTAGGCAGCAGTAGACCCAAGCAAGACATGGCTTACTAGCCTCAGAGACAAGGTATGGCACAGGAATACACCCGGGGCTGTGCCTGCAGGTGCAAACACACTTGTCTACGGAGGTGTGTGCCCATGAGGTGCAGGGAAGGACAGCTCCTTGCCCTCACAATGTCACTGGGCCGGAGAATTTGCCAAACCATACAGCCAGGCTGCCACAAGCCACCAGCAACAAGACGCCCATCACAAAGAAGGCTCTTGACTGTGTTCTTCCCTCCTCCTCTCCCCAGCCTGGTCCCCCTGCTCCCAGGAGCTTTGTTCAGCATCTCCCTGTGGGGCCAGGGACCCCCATCCTGCCCCTCACACCTCCTCTGCCCCTCACTTTTTGGCCAGTTCCTCTGGGGGGCCTGCATCGTGGTGTCAGGCCCTGCTGGGCCCCAGCCTTGCCAGGCCCGTCTTTTCTGGGTTCTGAGGGCCCTGTTCCTCTTTGTGACTCAGAGCAAGTCTGGACTTCCTGCTCAGCCTGGGGATCCTCCCACCCTAGGGGCTTCTCAGAACCATGTGACCGGGACACTGGGCTCTCCTGGGCACCAGGCCTTGGACTGAGCACACCCACGCTCTTCCCAGGCCCAGGGCTACTGGTGCCTCCTAGAGAGAGGTCAAGGGGAACCAAGTCAGAGGTTTGTGGAGAGCCAGGGACCGGACTGGCTGTTGAAGCTCCTGACTCCCCCTTTGGCCCCTCTGGGGATGCTGGAGATGGGCTGGTTGCTGGGGCACTCGGGGGCCTGCTCTGCTCCATCCCGTTCTGTGTCTGTGCCTGCTCCTTCTTGTTCAGAGTCTGGCCAGTGCTTTGACTTCCCTGAAACGAGAGATTGTTCGGCCCTGCTGGCTGGCAAATCCAGGGCTTGTGTCCCTAGCCCGCCCCACTCTGTCCTAGTACCCACCTCCGGGCTCTCCACCTCCTCCTTCTCTTCCTTTGTCTCCCACCTGTAGAAACACAGCACACAGCAGGCCCCTCTCCTACCCACCCTGCTTCACATCACCAGCACCACAGTCGGTGGCCTACATTTTCCAGAGTTCAGGAGCATCAGAGCCAGAACAAGGCTCCTGGATGCTTCCCTTCCAGCCCAACTCGCTCCCCAAATTCAGCCATTTTCTCCGAACACTGACCTCCTTAGCCCCAGCCCAGGTCCCAAGCTGCTGTTTGTGCTGAGCCCCGAAGCACCTTGAGTTCTGTGGAGACTCTAGGCATGTCCCTGCCTGCACTGCCTGGGAAAGGCACCTGACTTCCCCAGGGGAGAGTAGCTGCTGTAATTACCACCAACCTCCCTGGGCACCAGGCTCTTGCTGCTGCGGCTGCTGCTGCTGCCCGTGCTGATGGCCTCTCCTTGCATCTTATTAACCTTCCCCCCGGGCAGCTGTCAGCAGTCAACCAGGGGGAAGAGGCACCAGGGAGGGCTGGCGCAGGCACCAGACCAGTGTGGGTTCTCAACTCTCAGGAGCAAAGGAGAGCCAGCCATTCAGGAAGCCCAGAATCCTCCCTGATTTCGCCCTCTGCCGCCTGTTACCTTCGGGCCCTGCCAGTCAGCCTATCCGTCCCTCGAGCTTTGCTGCATATGGCTGGTGCCGCCAAGGATCTGCTAGACTGCCCACCCCGAGTAGTACCACCTGCAAGAAATGGTCCGCGAATCAAGGAGAGAAGAGGGCCTTAGCAGCGCAGCTCCTGCACCAGCTCAGCTCATGGGACCCAGCTCCTCCTTCTCTCCCAACTCACCCTTGCCATCAGGGGGCAATTGTGGGGGCTGCAGCCTCCGGTGGCTCCTGGGACCTAAGTGGAGCAAAGGAAAAGGGGAACGGGTGGGGTGGCAAGTGACCCAAACACCAGTTTGGAGCAGGAACACCAGTTCTTCCAGGGCCAGGAAGCTGTCGGTCCTTCTCTTGGTCCAGTTGAGGGTTTTCTGGCCCTCAGATCAAGCCCTGGCCTGGAGAGCTGGTGGGCGTGGTCCCTGTGCTGGTGTTACCACTCCTGGCTGAGTGACTGGCCAGCCTTTCCAGCACCAGCTTCCCCGTGTGTAAAATAAGGGGAGAAGCAGTTCGCAGAGCTCTGCTCCTACAACAGCCCGTGCAGGGCACAGGGCTCTCACCCTAGGGAACCAAGGACTCCGCGGGACCCCAGCGCAGACTCCCTCACGAGCCTTCTCCCCTCGCGTTCTGGGGTCATAACTCTGGGCAGAAGCCGTAGTTTTGGAGGGTGTACAGGGAGGTCATGGTGCCCTCCTTGGATAGCAAAGGGGAGGAAGGAAGACATCCTTCCAGGCTTCCTTCCAGCTCTGAAAGCGAGTGGTAAACCAAGAGGCAGAGAAAAGAGAGGAAGAGGGGACAAGGGGTAAAAAAGCCAAGGGGAAGGGGGAGAGGTGGGGCACTGGCTCACCCCTGGTGCTGCCCGCCCTTCCCTGGCCCTCCTCCCGAGGTTTGCTGGAGCCCTGCGGCCTGTGGAGACAGAGAGGGTGGTCAGGTTGTCAGCGCAGGGGAGGACAGAGTCTGTAGCAAGACGCACACTGCCTCCACCTCCCCCAACCCCAGCCCCAGAATGGAGGGCAGCAGGGAGATGGTGGGCCCAAGCAAGATGGGGGACCCAGTGCCTCCACGGCACTCTGACCCGAAGGCCCAGGCAGACCCTCACCACCCTGGGGAGGGTCCCACCAGCCCTCCAAGAAGCACCCACAGTTAGCCCTGCCCCAAACCCCACGGCACATCAGCCCGATAAGCCTCCCAGCCCAGCCACCCACGTGGACTTGGCCTTGTCCAGGTCCCATGGGCGGCGCCAGTCACCCTGTGCATCTCTGTGCCGGGCGAGGCGGGCCAGGTCGATCTGCTCCCGCTCCTGCTTCCACTGGGCATAGTCCCAGTCCCCCTCCATGGCTCCCCACACTGGCTGGTGGGGAGCTGAGCCGGGGACCAGGCCTGGACTCCGGGGCTCCCAGGCACCCTGCCGGGAGAAGACACTCAGCACCATGGGGTATGAGCAGAAAGAGTCCTGGGTTTGGAATGGAAATCCAGAGTCTACTGACCCCTTCCTCTCTCAAGACTTTGCCGTCCCCATCTAAAAATTTGATGTGTTCCATCTCTAACGTGTTGTTTGCCATGGGTATGGTTTCTATTCACTTGCTAGCTGTGTCTTTTGGGCAGGTTACTAAACCTCTCTGTGCATCATTTCCTCATCTGTAAAACAGGGATAATAATAACACCTATCCACAGGGCTGCTGCAGGGGGTGCGGCCAGGCCCGAGTGGGGAGCCACCCAGCAGCTGTGAGCCACAGCCAGGACTAGGGACTGCTGCCACCTAGAGGTTGGACCTGGCATGGGGCCAGTCCTCCGCACCCTCCTGGCCCCACCTAAAGTCCCCACCCACTTGTCACCAGAGCTCCAGGTAGGGTAAGGAGCTGGATCACACCTCTGGCTTACCCTGTCTTTTGGGGCAAGGCCCACCCAATGCGGGGGCTGGACCAGGAAAGGAAGAAGGGGTAGGAATTCTTGCTGGGGCTTCCTGGGCATGTCCCCACAGACAGGGGACATATGTGACTCAGCTTCTTGGCCTCCCCTGAATGGGTACCACCACATTCATGTCCTCATCCCCTCTTAAAGATATACCTTTCGTGTAGAATCCAAACTGACATCCATCTGCACAGAGCAGCTCTGACCCAAGGCCCCTCCAGGAGGCCCTTCTGCTCCCTGGCTTCTTGCTCTGGTGTGCTTCTCGCTTACAATCCGCTTGGCCTGGGGGAGGTCAGGAAGGGCAGTGTGGCCGAGCTGGGGAGGAGGAGGCTGCACACCTGCGCCTGGGCTTCCCACACCCTCCCTGCTCACCTCAGCTTTGTTTTCCATGGTCACGGCCAGCTCCACCCGCTCCCCTAAGCAGAAGGTGTCTGTGTGAGCCTCCAGCTCCTCATCCGTGAGCACCTCATTGGCCGCTCCAGGCCCACGGGTGCTTCTTGCCCAGTTCTGGCTGACCACCCGCTTCTCCTGCAGAACGAGGGCAGAGGTGGCCAGGAGCTGGGGGCCGGGTCCTTCGGGTGTCTCCCTAGGCCAGCTCCAGCCCCGGCCCTCCCTGGAATGCCCACGGAGAAGCTGGGCGTCCACATGCCAGTGGCATTAGGTTATCCAGGCGGACAGCCACCCTGAGGCTCAAGATGCCACAGCGACCCGTCATCTCTGAGCAGGGAAATCCAGAGCATTCAGACAATGGGTCTTTGTCCCTCCCCCACTGTGGCTAGCATTCAGCCCCTTTTCTCTGAGCCCTGGGGTTTGGGGTTCAGGAGTATCCTGTGCTTTGAGGCATGTGTACAGGGCTGTGGAGCTGGAAAAGGGTACAAGGAGGCTACCCTCTGCTGGCCTTTCAACTGTGGCCCTTTGAGGGCGGGGGGACAACGGCAGCCTGGGCTGCAGGAGATTGGGAGCTGGAAAGTACCCCAGAACTGTAAGTGGGAGTAGCAGGAGCGGTCGTCCACCCCGACATGGGTGGACACCTCCTTGCCACCCCGCCCAGTCTCCCAGGTGGGGCTTACACCGGGAACCTGGCTGATGGTGATGGTAAGGCCGTCGGGTCGGAGGAGCTCCGGCGTGGTCACAGCCCTGCCCCCCTGCTCCGCCCGCCGACGGTCTTCCTGGATCTCCTGTGGGAGGGCCGGGAGTCAGCACGGGCCATGGCCCCCCCAGTGGCACAGAGACACAGACGCCGACAGGCCTACACAGAGAGACACCGGTGGGACACCAAGAGGCAGGGATGCCGCATCACAGAGTCCCTGAGACCCTCACACAGCCTCTGAGATGGACCACGCCCACCCTGACCCCGTCCCCAGGCTGAACCCGCAGGGAGAGACCAGCACACCAGGGTCCGCGGGTCAGACGGGCAGTGCCAGCTCCGCCAGCCCTCCCAGCTCCTGGCACGGCCCTCTCACCTGGTACCTGCGAAGTAAGGCCTGGTTCTTCTTTCGAAGGGCGATTATTCTCCGGTCCAGGTCTGCATCCTTCTCTTCCTGCCTGCTCATCAGGGACTCGGCCCCCTGAGGCCCCTGCAGAGGGCAGAGGGCCCAAGCTCCTGAGTGCTGGGGTCATCCCTGACCATTGCCCAGACTCTCCCTCCCAACCAGATTCTTACCACCCAAAGAACATACCCCAGACCCAGCGCTAAGGTCCAAAGAGGAGATGACACATAGAAGGCCCTGAGCCCCCACCCCACGAGGCCTGCCTGCCATCACTCTGCATTCGTGGGCTCAGGTCAGGGCCTCCGTACCCAGGCCCACAGCTCCCAGCAGTGGTCTGCCCCTCCCCCGGCTCTCCAGGGAGCTCCACTGCCGAGCACAGCCTGGAATGGGAGTTATAAATGGCTCTGGCAGCGGAACCTGCCGTGACTGGGAAGTTGCCAGGGGATTCGGGAGGTCGAGGAGGGAGCTCTTTGGCTCCCAGGCCCAAATCCACAGTAAAAAGAGAGGCCCCTGATTCACGCTGAGCTCCCAGGCCCTGGACCCCACTCCTTAGGCCTGCGCCCAGCCTGTGGGAAAGAGCCGCTCCCAGGGGCCCAGCCACTCCAGGCTGTGAGCTGCTGGCAGTGGGCATAGGAGAGAGCCAAATCTAGGGAGGCCTAGGTCCCTCCCTCTCTGCCTGCAGGGTCTCCTTTGTCACCAGTGCCCCAGCCACCCATGCCCCTGCCCAGCCCCCGGCTTCCTAGGCACAGCCCTCTTCCTCCCAGGCCCAGCTGTCCCCAGCTGCTCCCAGAGTATGGCTTCCTGGCGTCCCAGCCCCCTCCCAGCCCCAAGAAGCCCTCCAAGGGTGAGGTGCCACTCACAGCTGAGTGCATGGCAACAGCGGGCACGAAGAGAATTCCAGAGGAGCCTGGGGGAGCTAAAGCAGGAGGGACTCTGGAGCCGCCAGAGCCAGGCCTCTGCCGGCCTCTCCCTGCCGGCTTCGCTGCTCAGCACACGAGATCATGTTGTGATTACAAAAGACTCCTCTGGGCTCCCAGCCAGGAACGCCTTGGCCGCTGCCCCCACCCATCCACTCTCAGAGGGCAAGGGCCGGGGCACCGGCAGCCAGCTGGCCCTGCCCAGCACCTCTGCCTGCCCTGCCCCAGGGTCCCCAGACAAACCAACAGGGACCTCTCCCCGGCAGGGTGAGCTGACTCAGGGGCCCCGGCTGCCCCAGGCCCGGTGCCCCCCTGAAGACCCCAGTCTGGGCCTGGCTGCAGACAGAGGGGCAGCCAGCATAGGCCTGTGCCCCTCCCATTAGTAGAGAAAGGCCTACAGGACCCAGCCTATCCAGCTCTCTGGTCTGCGGGTGCCCCCCCTCAAACAAGCCTCCCCTCACTCTCCTTACCAGCCCTAGTTAAAATCATCTGAAGGGATATAAGAAGCTCACTTCCCCTAAGCTACCGAATACTACCTTGTACCTAAAATAACACCATTAGTCATTCACTCCTTTAGGTTGAATGTTGTCTTTCCTGTGTTTTGAAGTACGGCCACCCCTGGGAGGGTCAGCTGTTCATGTCTCTTTTTGGTATGGGGTGAAGGACCCTTGTCACCACAGTTCACAGCTGGCCACCAGCCTCCTCCCTCAGGCTCCTAACTTGGGGCCCTTCCCAGCCTTGCTCTCTGGGGCTAACCCTTTCAGCCCCTCTGACCCAGAGAAAGGAAGCAAACTTTCTTGGGAAAGTTCCTCCCTGAACTTTCCCTGTATGGCTAAGGCTGGTCCCTCTGCCAAGGGAGCAGCTGACCTGGCACCCCCCCCCCCAGGAGCCTCTGGGCCCGGGGCATGGGGTGCCAGGAGGAGGGGTGGTGTCGCTGTGTCAGGAGCACCTGGGGTCTCTTTCAGCAGTTACAGAGCCCTGACCTCTGCGGCTTGAGGGGGTCAGAGGTCCCTGCATGCCCTACGTCCCTGCTTGACCAGGCCTCAGTTTCCCTAATTACACAGCAGGACTGGTCTCCTTCTGTCTCTGGAGCAGAAAGCCCTGCTGCCCTCTCTGTCTTCCCGGGTCCAGCCAGAGACCCAACCTCTGTTCACCTCGAACCACCCCTTCCTGTCCGCCCTCCCCTCCTCACCACATTTAACTCTTTCCCGGCCAGGCCTTCACACAGCACCCCTGACCCCACACCCCCTCTCAGAGGCCCTGGAGTTCCCATCCCGCTCGGAAACGCCACTGCACCCAGTCTTCCCTTCCAGCCGGATGTTCCCACTGAGTCAGACTCCTCTACTTCCCCAGCAACATGACTCACCCAGGCTTCTCGTCCTGGTCCTCTCTCTCGAACAGGCTCGCTCCATCTCCCACCTTCTCCATACGCTGCCCCCCACAGGCTGCAGAGTCCCCAAGGTCCAAGCAACGGGCTCTGGTGGGTGGCAGTCCAGCTCCCCATCACCTGCCCCCGCCGTGTCGTTGGAGCTGGGAGGCCTGCAGAGCACCTGCCTAGAGGAGCTGATGCCGAACATTCTCCGTCACGTTGGGGACCCAGACCCCAGACCCGAGCAGGAAGGGTAGAGACAGAAGAGGCTGCAGGCTGAGGCTGCTCCCCTCGGTCCCATTCCCAGCCAGGGGAACAGGAGGCACAGGCAGAAATCAGCCATTCCACAGGGAGGGCGACCCCGCTGTTCTGGAAGGGTCTGCAGGGAAAGACTCCACTGACCTAGTGACAAGGCCTGGAAGCCCATCAGGCTGTGAGGCCCATGTGCCCAGAACAAGCCAAGAGTGAGACAGGGCCCCACATTGTCTGGCCATGTGCCTCCCACATGTTACCATGTCACACCTTGGAGCAGCCCCCCCCCCGTTCTCCTGTTTGTTCCAGAGTCTGCTGTCCCACCGCACAGGGGCTCTCTGAGGCAGCAGTGGTGTACCCAGGACCTCTAGCTTCCCCTGCAAACCGCAGACCCTCCCCCCACCACTTGCAGAATGAACATATGAGTGAATACCCCCATGCAATCCTGGGCACAGCTGTGGGTATCTTATGTATAGGCTGTGACTGCCATTCTTTCACCCAGAATGCTTGCAGCCCTGAGGTAGGCGGTGGCTGGTGAAGGCCGCTGTCTGGGGGAGGCAGGGAGGTGACCAGTATGGTGTTCCCCGTGAGCCCCTGTCTGTTACTCCATGCCACCACTAGGGGCAGCAGAGTTACAAAAGGCAGTTTGGGGGGTGCGAGAGGCCTCCCCTTCTCTTCTGCTCTCCAGCTCCTCTTCCTCAAGTCTCCATAAACCTCCCACCTCCACCAGACTGGAGAAGTTACTCAGTTCCAGACCTATTTTACTGATGAGGAGGCCCAGAAAGGTAGCCCCATCAGTCTAGGCTGCACAGCCTATTTGAAGCACAGGTGAGACTAGAAGCCAGCAGGGCACCTGCTTTCCCTGCCCAGCACTCTCTCCACCACCCCCAAACCTACCAGCCACCCCCCATACTTTTCAGGTCACATAATTTCTCTTAGGAAGGTATTATGGGTCCAAGGTACAGACCGAGAGCGAACCCTGAGGACACAGTGGCAGCAAGTCTGGAAATCCTCGTTGAGAAAGAGAAGAAGAGGGAAGCGTGCAGGGGAGGAAAGACCCTCGGGACCACACGCCGAGCCGGGGAGCAGAGACCTGGCAGAGGCCCCTCCCATGGAGCCTGCACTGCTCAGACCCTGCTCACTGTTTCCAGAACAGCTGCCCCTGAGGATGGCTGGTCATTAAACAGAAGCATTCCAGCCCTTGTCATAGAATGAGACACAGTGGAGTCTTGGATTCCAAATTAACTTCATCCCTCACTGGCTGTGTGGATTTAAGTAACATCCTAACATCTCTGGTCCTTATCTGTCAAACGAGGTGGACCTACTTCACTGAATCATTGGTGGAAAAAATGAAGTAACCCGGTAACATCCATATGTATCTAGATTCTAGAACAACATGTGACCCAGAGTAAAGCTCAGAATAGTTTTATTCCTGCCTCAGGTAACTGTGATAGCCACCTTCTTGCTGCTACCATCACAGCATCCTCTGAGGCACCCCAAAGGCTGCCCCCTGCCAGCCTGCGGGGGAACACACTGAAGATCTCTGGGCCCTAGAATACGGAGCCCTTCTGTGAGCTGGTGGGGGAGATCCCTGGGGCTCTCTCTATGCCTTCCTTCATGCGGTTCCCCGCCCAGCTAACCCTGCAGGGCCCGAGGTCCTGCCCTACTCCCTGCAGGGAGTCCTCCCTGCCTGCCCACTTCCCCCATGCCCTGTCCCCTCTGAAATCCAGGCTCTGGCTGCCGTGTCCTTCAAGGCAGCTCTGGCGCTCCTGGAAGCAGTGTCTGCACTTCACCTGTCTCTGGATCCCACCGGGCTCAGTTCCAGGCCACACCCCACATCCCAATGCCTGGGAACCATTCGTTTTGACCCTGGCCTGGCCCTTAGTGGTCACTGGTTCCACTTCCAGGTTTGGGTGGGCGGACGAGTATTGAAGAAGAGGGTGAGCAAAGCTGGATTGCATGAGATCCCAGCTACTAGGCAGCAGCCCTCTAGATGGGAGGGAGCAAGGAGGCAGTTTCAAGTACAGTGTTCCTTTCCTACAAACCCACTCCCTGCAGTGAGCCCTGCACCCACCGTGGCCATTCCTAGCTCAAGAAACTGCTGTGCTAACTCCTACTGACCAGCGTATGTGCAGGCCTCTCAGGTCAGGCCAGGCCTGGCCCAGGGTGGGGAAGACTCAGAGGGCATGAGATCGGGCCAGAAGGACAGGCTCTGGGCAGGCTTGAGGTTTCAGAAACAGTCTGTGCCCCACCTCTCCCAAGAGCGTGCACGCTGGGGCAGGGCAGGCCCAAAGCCCTTTGAGGTACCAGGAAGCAGAGGGAAACTGTCTGAGGACCTACCCTTCCATTCTGCTCTCCAGGCCACGCCCAAGGCTGGGGCCTCTAGCGCTTTCCAGCCTTGTGCCCAGTGCTGGGAGGTGAGCCCTTGTGTGGCACTGAACGCCTGGGGTCTCTCCTATAGGGGACTTTCTGTTTCTTGCTAGCTGCAAAGATGACTCAGATTGTTGTTCCCAGAGCCATTCACACCAGAGGCCAAGTGCTGCCCCCATCAGGGCTTGTCCTTGATAGTAGCGACACCTACTATGTGCTGTCCCTGGATGAGGCTACAGAACCAGGAAGTGAACACCCAAGCTCCACCTCAGAGGCACTTGTGAATACCAGGCCAGTGGAGGAGGATGGTTTTCCAGGACAGGAGCTTTAAGGGGATGAGCAAGACTCAGCAAAGGGATGGCAGCGAGAAGGCATCATGTCGGTGCAGCGGGGAAAGTGGTGGCGGCTCAGACCAGTAAGAGAATGTTAGGTTAGGAAGGTGCAGACCAGACCAGAAGGACGCTGAAAGGCAGGTCCCAGGAGTAACGTGGTCCAAGTGGTCCAAGAGGAGCTCAGTGGAGGCTCTACAGCAGGGTCGGAGGAGGCTGTACAGTGGTTTGGGAAGCTGAAGCCAGAATGGGTCAAGCAGGTAAGACATGGAGGAGCGGGGCAGAGGTGGACGGAAGCACACAGGCAGGAAGCTGTGTCCAGAGCCTGGAGGGAGGGGTCTGGGCCAGGCAGAGCAGTGGGGGACTAGGGAAGAGTGAACAGGAGGCCCAGAGTATTAGCATGGC